GACATTTTTGACGTCAAAATATTAAGGCACGATAAACAGAAATATTGAAATTTATAAGCCACAACCTCAGAGATTAGCAGACACAGTGACGGAGCTAGACCAACTCTGGACGTCGGCGACATTAGAATTGTGAGGCCCCCTATTAACCCAGTTGTAAAAGTAAATAAGTTACATTCACTAATATGACAAAGCATGATTAAAAGTTTTATTGCTAATCAAATTAAAATAAATGAATTTTCAAAATTTGCGCCAGCTGCTATTTTCGCTTCAGTTTATAGAAATTCGAATGGAGATAGTCTCTCTTGGATCATCATACTTTTCTAGTACGTCTTAATCAATTTTAAATTTGAGAAGTTTCTTTCCGTCGAAACAATACTGACTGGAATTGTGAACATGAATCTGGTTACTATATAAACATTCGGAAATATTTCGAATATGGTTAATGCCATTATCAAACCAACATCGCTGACGCCTAGCGACGCCACTGAGCAGACAACTTATAATATTTCTCTTAACTCTTTTATAATAACTTTTACCTAAAAACTTACGACATAAACTAAACTTACCGAAGACAATGAGATACTTTTGTCCAACGTCATTTATTTTAATATAACAAACTGAAAATGTACTTTTCATCACAATTTTAACTAACAACTTTCTAATTTTCTTCGTACTTACTTTTTGACCTCTAAAAAATTTTATAATAATAAAAATACGTCGTTTTTGTCATTCAAAAAACACACCTGAAAGTATCAAAGTATCTCACTTAATAAATTTAAAAATTCGCTTTAAATGCAAAGCAAGTTCTTTAAATTCAGAGGATGTAACTTTTTTGTTACAGAACGTCTTATAACATGCAATAGTTAAAATTTTAATGTCTTTGCCAGCAGTTATATTTTGATTGAAAGGTGGATTTAATTGAATGTAATTTAAATACAAAAATTGAATTGCGTTTTTAATTAATGCATGCACTATAATCGGCATAACTTAATTTAGAGAGAATATTAATCGTCTCCGATTAATAGAACACTAATAGCTGGCTACGTTTTGTCAACATATTTGATAATCAAAATTTATTGAACGGTTTAATTCCTATTTATATTTATAATATATGTGTATTATATATGTAATCCTATATTATGTGCATAAACTAATATGTATCACAAAGAGTAACGTATTCATTTGTCCATAATAGTAATTTTTGCAACAGGTTCAGACATGATTCACAAAAGGTTACGTAAAAATGAAAATTGAATTTCTTTTTAAAACGTGTTAGCGTGCACGGTCAGTTAGAAAATTGTCTACCATCACCCATTGCATTAGAGTGTGCACTGGAGAGAGTAACTTTATACTTTGTACACTACAATGAGTTCAGGCATACTTGACTACTTACTGTGTGATGACTTATGGCATACTGGATTGATATATGATTTAGTATATGAAACTAATATCCAATATCTTCTATAATTCCTTTATTGAGGAAATATATCTGGAAGACTTCTCTAAGGTAATCAAACAATTACCAAAAAAAATAGACAATGATTAAATAGTGAAAACAGAATATAATTTTAATAGAAAAATATTCAATTCACAAGGGACGACTATACATAACTATTTTATATGTAGATTTCTGAAGGAACATTGGCCAAAAGGTGTGTCATATTGGAAAATAATTTATTTTGTATTAGTCAAAGGTAATAAACTACTTCTTGCTTCTCAGATATTGTTGACACAGACTAATACACATCACTCTATCTTTATATATCTATATAAGAAATTAACCTTTTTTTTTATAATATTAAAGTTTTTAACTTTTAAAAATTATACAAACGTGTAGATAAAAATAATATTTATCGTGTTCTGTTCTATTAAATGAAGCACAAAACATTTGCAATCAATTTTAATTATAATCTGGTTTTTTATGGGAAACGATTATTCCATTAATATTACATGTCTTATTACTCGCCTTTCTATTTAATAGCCAGTAAAACTTTGACAGCCTTATATGTGTACAGTATCTTATTAGGTGAAAGTATTGATGCATCATCGATACTGCATCGATACTTTAGAATCAACCATCGATGCCACTACGATACCAAGTGATTCTTTTGGCATCGATACCACTATAAACTGCTGGGATATTATTATAGTTCTCGTCTTTACTCCATAAAATAAAGAATTATATTGATTGGTTTGAATTTTTATATCTGTGGTTTTTGTATTATGTATAATACACCATAAACAGACACACCCGCAGAATCTACATTAGTCATTTATAATTATTTAGTTATTTAGCTAATTATAATTTAGATTGATAAAATTTCATGAGATAGAACTAGATCTACTCTTCTTATTATATCAAAAAAAATATGCAGTTTTCAAAAACATATACTGGTATGTTATATATATCACTTTTAGGAATTATAACTTCAAATTATTGTGGAAAATTTTGATCTGAAATACTACTAATATATTGCTAATAACATTAATAAACATACTTATTTAAATAGAAATGTTTGAAAAAAATTTAAAAAAAATACAACACAAAATTGAAAACTGATAGCAGTGATGCTAGGTTGTAGGGTCAGTTATAAAACTTATTACCAAAAACAACCAAATGATACAAAATTTTAGATACTGTAGAGCAGGGCTGTCCAGACCAGATAAAATCGCGGGCCAATACAAATCACTGAATAGATTAAAAAGTCGCAAAAATAAAAACATACGGCGATAATGGTAAATCAGGTTTTTATTAATTCTTAATTAATTAATCTTTTACAGTTTTATCACTATCAGCAATATTAAGATTAGTTATCGCCATACAAAAATTATTTATTTTTTTAATGTAATGGTAAAATAATGTACAAAGAAATATACACTAAAGTCTTCGCCAATTAAGTAAATTAGTGTGAAGTATGATATATTATTTAAAATCTTCTTAATACATTTATTTGGGATACCAAAAATTTACCTAATTGTGGTAGATTAGAAACATGTCTTGAGTCGCACAAATATTACCTGTATTAGGCCCGTGGGCCGTGCTTCCAATAGACCTGCTGTAGAGTATTAATGTAAGCCAAAGAACAGCTTTTTTATATTACTAACTAGACTAATCTACTGTAATACTGCAAAGTAATGTGCATATTAAACAAAGAAAAGAATTGTGATTTCTATAACCATTATCATAGAAAGATTGCAGACTTCTGACGGGTTACAGTCTAAGCACGAAATGAACAGCTAAGAATGTAGAAAACGTTAAAAATTCTCCACAGGGGGCTCCACAGTTTTGAAAATTTGCCAAAATGGAACTATAAATACTCTTACCATTTTGTTCGATCTGGCATCGCTAAGAACCTATAATTCATGTTTGGCTTAAGACCACACAGATAACCACCTTATACGATCTTATATTACTAATTTATGCCAATGTTAAGGTTGCATTGAAAACAACGTTTGTTATGTGAATCGATGTATACAATTCTATAAATAAAATAACAGTAATAAAAGTTTTGCTTAAATTAGGTAAAAATATAACGAAAATGAAAAAAAAGTGTACAGTTCCTTCTCTCTTTTTCCATCTCCATCTCTTTTTCTCTCCCTTTCTGGTAGTCTAACTGTATAGCAATTTTAGTGAACTGTATATTTCTTTTAAAAGGGTTTAATTCAAATTTATGTCAAGGAACTATTATGTTTATAATAAATTTTAGTGATAACAATATCGAGTCCATCGCTTTGTACGTCTTTTTGCTACTGGTGTGACTGAATCTTCACTATCTCTGATAATATTTACAAGTCCAATTCATTCTATTATACCTACCTATGTATATAGCATATATTATTGAACTTGAAGTTGTTTTTTTCACAAACTTTTCCAGTTTAAATGTTCCTTACCTTAGGTACTACTATCAAAAACATAGTAATTTCTATGTTTTTGCTATTATATGCAATTTTGATGCTATAATACTTTTTTTCATAACAGATTATTAAATTAATTTTTAATGTAATTAAGTGGTTCTATATGTTTATTATAAACAATTTAGAGTTAATATGAAAATGGGGGAAAGAAGAGCGGTTGAACACATAGATAAATCTGTTAATAGATAAATGGTCTTAACGATAATCAAAATTATCTAATAGCTTTAGAATATATACAAATTGAAAACAAATATTCAAAGATTTGTTTTTTTATTTTTTAATTTTATTTTTTACTACAGAGATATGCAAGGATTAAATGTTTCTATTTACATATTCTATAAAATTTATATTTTTTTCTCTCTGATAGCCTCATGAAACTCATATATACTTTTGAGTATTTCTTTGAACCGTATTTACTTTCCCCTAGAATTTTATCTGAGTGGTAATTACATTTTTTTTTTCATTTCTGACTTCGCCAATGATTTGGTCGTGCACCAATGAATAAAGTTTTGACAAATCTGACAAAATTGTTAATATTTATATATTATGGTATTTCCCATTACGGAAAGATTTAATTATATCCGGTATTATATGTTCCCGAAAATTTTGATCCAGAGAATATGTTGTTATAACATTTTTTCCGATATTTCTAAATGAAAAAAAAAAAGTAATGTTGATCAGTTTAACCTTATTATGTAAATATTTAATTTCATCCTTATATGATACGACACATTGTATTATAAACGTGTTTTTTGCCATTAAAAAGTTTCTGCTTACAACAGTGCTTAATCCAAAAATCGGTTAACTCACGTCATCCACAACTTAATCTCTTAACTGTAACCATTCAACAGATCAGTATTACCGACAGTAATAGCTGTTTTGTATATTGTATTGTTTTTGTATTGTTTTAATGGTTTTTAGCAGCCACAATCTACGAGTTTCGCTTTTGAGCAATAATAATTTTCATTTCATTCACCGATGAAGTGGAAACGAGATACAAACGTTGGATTACTTTTTATTTTACATCTCAAAGTAAAAAATTGTTTAAGTGAAATATTTTTTGCTTAATATACTGATATATAAGAAAAAGCCAATAATATATATTCTAAAATAAAATATAAAATTTTAATTTGAGAGAAAAAAGTTGTAATCATGAACGCCGCAGAACTGAGTGCACAATATAATAACTTTCCGGATATTCAACGCTCGGAAGTAAAAAAATTTGTCGAATGGATACGCGCCCAACCGCACATGCAAAATTTATCCGAAGCGGAAGCTTTGCATTTCTTCCACGCCTGTCATTACAGCATGGAGAATGCCAAGCAAGTGATTGATACCAATCTAACCGTACGAACCCATTGCGAAGAGTTCTTTTCAAATCTGGATATTGAACGTCCAGAACTGAAACGTGCTATGAATACTGTGTAAGTGTCGCTATGGAAAATGTGATTGATATTGAAGAAAAACTTTCTTGATGTATAGTTTATATATTTCAGTGATGTATTCCCATTACCTAAATCAACACCAGAAGGATATAAAATTTTTGTGGGTAAATTAAATGATCCTAATGCATCGAATTTTAATTACGCTGACTGCATGAAACTGTGAGTTATAAATATAAATAAATATAATATAATATATATATATATATATGTGTGTTTATATTACATATACATAAGTTTGAAATCAATTATAGGGTACAATTGTTTGAGTATAGATATGGATTGAAAATAATAACATAAAACATAAAAAAAATTTGCTATTTACAGAAATAGATATTATTCATCGCATATTCTTTTCTTCTTCTTCTACCCTACAGTCCGTTATAAACCTTTTCCCTCTTTGCAAATTTTTTTCATCTTACATAGTCTGTTATGTTATCTTTAAATATACAAGTTTGAGAATTCCTGCATCATTATATGCCCTGCCTTATTATAATATTTTCGTTATGCTTCGATGTTTGCTCAATGCAGGTTTGGGATAACCTTCAGCGTTCTATATGAATAACCTCGTAAAGTCACTCTCTGTCATTCGATAAAACTAATATAATTTTTTGTAAGTTCGTTAATTTCATGTTTGTTCGTCAATCTCTGTAGCAATGCCACAGTTGTCAATGGTTGATCTATACACTTTAAGTTCACATTAACACGTATATATTAGTTTATCTACATCAAGCTCGCAGATACAAAGCAAAATGTATAAAGTCTAATTGACGATATTAATATTTCTACCATTATAAAACAAATGATATCAAACTGTAAACAATGAGAGAACTTTATAGGAATCTGATATAATAAAATAGTAAAAGTTCACCTTTACCCTATGTTACATTTTTGTCTTTACCACTTAAAGAAAAGATGTTCGCAATAGATCATCTATATCTTCGAGGGATTTTTGTCTCCTACTTCGTATCAAAATAAAAAAATAAATCTGATTGATAGGACTAGGACTAGTTCTAGAGAATATTATTAATAATAATAATATCAATCATATAAGGTTTGTAAAAAACCGAGTAGAAAAAAATTAAGAAATACACAAAATATATTGTATAATTAACGATTTCTATGGTTGTTCTAAATATAAGTACATAGTTATATATGAAATATATTTGTTTAATCATTTAATATAACAATGTGTTAATTTATAATATATAATATAAACGAAAAGTCATATGTAGTATTTATAATAAGCAAAAAAATTGTTTTATTGTAGGGGGCACAATATTAGACGTTCTTAGACTCGTACCTGTTGGCAGTTCATATTTAAAAATCACATCATGACCAAGGCTAGGTTTTGTTGATTAAAACCTTTGTTTAGTATTTTCCTTCCATTGAACTGACACTTATCGTCAACTAACTGTGGTTCATTCATAAGGGGTTCGAAATAATAATCACAACAAAATATAGTTTTAAAAAAATTGTCTACTCAAAAGGGGTGTCGGTTTAACAGATTTGGCGGTTAGGACCGCTTCTAAGTTTGTATATAGAAATAATAAATATCAATTTTAATATTTTCTCCTGTCATCAAAAGTAAACATTTGCCATTATTATAATTTATAGCAATAAAACACAAATTTATATACTCATATTTTTTAAATATCATTTTAATTTACATACGTATATAATAGTTTGTAATTTCAGTCATTCATTCAATCACTATATAATAACATTAGTAAATGACAACAAAAAAACAGAATGTTGTATCGCGTTTTACGAGCATCTAATAATTAACTTAATTAATTTATATATAATTATTCCATTAAATTTTTTTATAGTATCAAATCAAATGTAACATATAAGATCAAATAAATAATAATAAACTGATCAAATAAGTATAATGTATTAAACTGATATCTGTCATCTAATATCATAATATAGGTTGTTAAAATATAATTATTTTAAAATATACCATAGTTTGTGACTATTACTAAATATTACGTTATAGGAACTTATATCTCAAATTGCTTAATATGTTCTTAGTATTAAGACAACACCAAAGCCCTTAAAATCTTTTCTGATTCATCCAACATGACTAATAAAACTACATAATAAACCACGTTTGATCATTGTTGTTACTAACGTAAGAATGAACCTTAAATGATTCGATATTAAATGCTGAACATAGAACTTACGTATATAAATAAACATTTTCAATATTTAAAATAATGATTTCGCTTCATTGCGAAAAAAGTCAAGTTTCAGAAGTTAAAGAACCAGTCACAGTTTCAAGATTATACAGTCATATGTTTAGCAACTGCTTATTGCAAGCGCTATCAGTATCATATGTGACTCCATTTTCACTATTAATAACATCAACCTCTTTGCTATTGTACTTTAACACTCTCTTATCATTTTTTGTTCTACGCCTCTCTCCATCGTGAACCCCTTACAGCAACCTATTGTTAACTTTTTGCACCACTAATTTAAGCTAAAATAAACTGATGCTACACTGATAAACCTAAAACAAAACATATTTGCATAGAATTCCTAATGTAAGCTACCAATCATGGTAATAATCGCTGCGCTTATTCTTTTTCCTCAACATATTAATCCAAATAGGACTCCCATATTTTTTACTTCTGTTTTAGTATTTCTTGCCAGTACTTTGATAATATTAGTTGTTTAGAGGTCCTTATATACATTATCAATTAATTTTTTACATAATCAATTTTTTTCTTCAATGATTTATATATGATTTCTCCAAAATAAGTGTTTGAATAGGATATGATTTGTTGGAGTAAAATCCCTTTCAATGAAGCATTCATATAAGATTTGCCAACAGGTATTAGTAGATGTACGAAAACGTAGTTTAAACTGTAATTCATATAATTGATCATCGTAACCAACAACTTACAACACGTTGCACAGACTTAGTGACATAGTATTTTTTTGCTTCAGTAATCCAATATTGGAATATATTATGATTTGTTCTTTATAACGAACTAAAGTCAATTAACAACACCGACCAAAATTTGCGTATTTGGATACTTTAAACGAGCTTCACTCACTTCTCTCCATTCAGCTAGCTGATGAATCCGGTTTTCACCTATTAGTGTGTACCAGTGCAAGAATGAAAAAGTGCTGCATTTTTTTGTTTAAACAGATCCAAATAGTGTTCGGTAAATGATCGATTAAAATAGTTTTTATACTACCCTAAGATAATTTAAGGTGTCAACTATTCCTAGATCATCACTCGAAAATAGCTTCGTGGATTTTTTGATGTTTTCTTTAATAGTAAATGAATTTTAACATTTACATCATATAAAGTCATATTTGTACACTGTAAATTTAAACACTACAGTTATTGATGACTACATAAACCAAAATTCAATTTTAAATGTTAAATGTTAAAGATTTTATTTAGCTATCATAATCTGATTTTTTAACAAACAATTATTTCGAATAAACCAGACTTGAAAGGCGGTGTCCCAATTTCTCAACAATCTTAAAAGAAAGGAAATTACTTCATTTAATAACATCTTTAAAGTAGTGCCTCATCTATATATATATAACTTTTTGTTTATAATTATTTTGAAAATAACTATCAATTAAAAAGATAGCCCCACAAGCCTATTCATATTCTAATAATATATTCTCATATCCATTAATATTTCTTCTCACCTTATAAACTCACTTTTCAAAAGATTGATTAAATTATTAAACAAATAAACAATATTCCTTACATCTACAATATATCGAAAAGGTATTGTATGGTATATGATTTATGGATGTATGAAGATGGCATAAAACCAGGACATATAATTGTACTTGATTTGAAAAATTGCTCTTTGGGTCACCTTGCTCGTATTGGGATACTGCAAATGAAGAAGTTTCTATTTTATTTGCAAGTAAGTAAATAATATTAAGAATTATAACAAATAAATAAATCACATATCGGTCATATATTACCTTTTAATTGATAGGAAGCAGCTGCTATACGATTAATAGGATTTCATTTTATTAATATTGTGCCCTTCATGGATAAATTACTCGCACTAATGAATCCATTTATGAAAAAAGAGTTAAAGAATGTATTATATTTACATAACAATATGGAGGATTTCTTCAATTATGTACCACAAAATATATTGCCCGAGGACTACGGTGGAAATGAAGCTGCATGTGATGTACTTAGAGGTTACTTTATTTTTTTTTTATTATTTTTTAAAATTGCATATACCAACTACTACTTCACACTGCAAAATTTGTTTAAAATAATTTTAAATATTAAAACATATTTAAAATTGATTCCTCAAAATTAATAATTTTATTTTTATAGCTCAAGTGTCTCTGAACAAATTTGGTTAAATTGTCAAATTAAAACAATTAATTGCGTTTTTTATAATTTATTTTTTAATAGATAATTACTATCAAAAACTACGAGATTACCGTTTGGATATGATGGAGTTCGAAAAGCGTCATCAGATCAATGAAAAACTACGACCAGGCAAACCAAAAACTTCATCTGATTTATTTGGCATAGAAGGAAACTTTAAAAAATTAGAAATCGATTGATATATTTATTTGTTTATATGATTCTTATTATTGGTATGGGTTCAGAAATAAATATTGTTTAATAACCTGTGTTATTTTCACTTTTTTAATAATAAAAACTGGAAACATTTAGTTTTATTCAAACTGATATATCACTTCTACAGGGTTTATAATAAGAAAAACAGAATTAAATAAATAAATCAGAATTAAATAAGTGAAGTTTCTCAACAATTGAATTTAATGAAAATATATTAACAAGTAAATGCAGGATTTTATCATAAGTGGTAATTCAAAGGGTACTCAAACTTAAACATTTCGAACTACCACTTTGAATTTTCGAAAAAATTCAAACTGCTTAAAAATATTCAAGTTGATTAAACGTCTTATCTACAGTGTTGTGTTTTCGTTAAGTTGTATACAAATATGTATAGCATCAAATGTTCGAACACGATATAATGTTCGAACACTATGGTGGTCGATGTGCTCATTTCAAATGTTAATAAAAAAGAAAGCTGAAGTAAGATTTGAAAGTATAATCTTAATCCTCTGAAACATTACTTTCATATGATATCTGTATTCTTATACCAATTACCAATGATTGTAATTGGTTTAATTTAAATATTTAATTACTAAATTTAGTATAAAGAAAATAACACATATTATAATTTCGATTTTCTGGTATGTCTATTTGACTACGGGTTTTAATAAAGCCATGTGAATCAACAAATTAGTTTAATTATAAATTTACATATATTTCAACGTATGAATTACTTGAGTAATACATAACAACTGACTGAGTACATACTAACTCGTCATAAATTAAAAATATATAAAGTACTATTGTCTTTTGAAGAACCGGACTGAGAGTTACTTTAAATCAATGAAGAAGTCAATGTAGATCTTAAGGTTTTGGTGCTATATCTTTTTAGTAATAATAATAATAATAAAGTTAATAATAATGCAAATGTTTGAAAGACATTTTTAACATAAATATAAACTCAAATGCACTTCAAATGCTAAACATAAATAATTTTAATTAATTAATTATTCTAATTTCAAAAATCTTTTATGTATATTCAAATATTTTATTTCTACTCATTCAATTTGAGAAAAACTTTTTAATACATATGTACTAATATACACAATTAATTTCCGTTAATATAAATTAATTATATTAATTAATTATAATAATTAATATAAAGTAATAATTAAATAAGTAATAGTTGTATTTCTTATACACGTAAGCTTAATCAAAACGTCTTATATCTGTATAGAGATAAACACATTTCTATGTACATTGCAGTAAATAAAAAAATTTTTTACTTGTTAGGATCTATAAATATATGTAAATAATGTATGTCGCTTATTAAATATAATTACATTTTTAGAGATATATAGTTCATTTGGAATATAACTGAACATTTTTAATTTTGTGATGAAATATACAAGATATACACATATGTTCTGTTATTTTATGTAGTAGCTGTCTAGCTAACTGATTTACGTAATTGCGTACTTACTATAAATTAATGTTTTATGTGGAGAGATGTTATATATAAAATTTATTTTAATAATTAAGCTATTAATAGAAAAAATTTTTATATAAAACTGTACAGGTAAATTGGGTATATTTATTATATATATTATAATAAATATTATGTAAATATAAATATATATATGTATATGATATATAAATATATATATGTATATAATATATATATGTATATAAAATATATATGTATATAATATATATACATCTATATAATATATATATATGTATATAATATATATATATATGTATATAATATATATATATGTATATAATATATATATATGTATATAATATATATATATATGTATATAATATATATATATATGTATATAATATATATATATATATATGTATATAATATATATATATGTATATATATATATATATGTATATATATATATATGTATATAATATATATATATATGTATATAATATATATATATATGTATATAATATATATATATGTATATAATATATGTATATATATAATATATACATATGTATATAATATATATACATATGTATATAATATATATATATATATGTATATAATACGTAGATATATGTATTTTTTACATTAATAAAATATTTTTGTATTATGTATACTTTTAGTATATATTCAATTTTAATATGTATTATATGCATACAATAGTAAAATTACATATTTTATGTATTTATTTATCAGATATAACAAATATTACATGGTATGTTTTGAGAACAATTTATAAAGTATGGAGATATAATTCTTTGATCGAAGATATAAAAAACTTATTCAAAAGATCCAAGGCGTCAAAGAAAAATCTGCACAATAAAAACCAGTAAAAGTTACGTTACTTACTTTTATTATAGAGTTCAGAAAAGTATCGAGTGATAAAATGGTGGAAGGAAAAATTGTTAATTAGAAACAAACTCTCAAAGGAAAGTATATCCAAAATAACCTTTAGCCACAACAATGTCTGCAGATTATTTGCTTTAAAGATAAATTCAGAAAAGAGTTGAGCTAAAAGGCCAGATACTTTGAAATATGAACAATAGCATTTTAGAAAAATTACAAACACAAATTTAATTAAATTTTGAATTAAAATAAAATAAAAAATAAAATATATAAAAAATATCAATCAAATTAGAGGTTAGTTGTTTGATTGAACCATTTTTGAGATATTGGGAATTCTTTGGCTGGAGGATTTTTTTGTTTTTGTTTTTTTTTTTTGATATAGTGTCTTTTTGTATGAGTATTGGAAATATACACTTCCTCCCAACTGATTACTTTCGTTTCTTACGACAAGGAATAATATCTAAATTTTACAAGTGGTTCCCAAAAAAGCACCCTATATGTAATATATATTTTCACTTTATATGAACACTTCATACAATATTAAATCACTGAATTAATTAAATCACTGTCCTATCGTTGTATTTATAAATGTAATTAATAGCTTAATAAATAACTACATTTTTAATTAAAAAAAAATATTATTTACATAAGTTATAACTAAAAAAAAATATGGATTTAAAATTTTCATTTTTATAAATGATTTATATTTGCGAGGGTTGGTTAATTGATATTGGTAGTTGAACATTTGGTATGTTCCGGTTACGTGGACTACCTTTATTGCTATTCATTGTGCTGCTACTGATGCGAGCAGATTGTTGATATTGTAAATTTGTCATCGAATTGTTTAAAGATGATTGAGCTAATGTATTTGTTGGCATTATAGGATGTGAATTGCTTGCTCTCATATCCCAAGTATTGGTGCGATGTAGTATTGTGTACGGCTGGTTAACAGAACTAACTCCAGATATTGGACCCTTTAATGAAATTTAATTAAAAATAATTGATAGTAATTACTTTAAATTGAAATTGAAATTCTTTAATTTAATTAAAATTGATATTTAATTATTAAAATTGTTCTTGATATAATTAGACTAATTTATATAGCAGAAATTTATATGAAGAAATGTAATTAAATAAATAAAACGGAAAGGATTTTTTTCAGATAAAAACTTAATACTAATATATACTAAAACATAACTAACAAAAGAATTATGTCATGAAAATATTGTGCTTATTATACAGTTACGATTATTTTTTCATACTTTTTTTCACTTATCAAGGCAACCTATATAAATAAATTTACTAAGTAACATATTATTATTTATTTCGATTGTCGCTAGTATCAGCGTTATAAAGTTCCTATTTAATAACGTGTATTTGAAATTTTTCAACACTTGATTTAAAAAATTAATTTTCTAAATTTTGTACTTTATCTACTATCAAAAAATCTATTGAAATTGCTAAGTTGTTCTAAATTCTTAATGGATTATTTTTATCTTACTTAGAAAAGTAATTGTGTAGATTAATTTATATCATCAAATATACATAATTATAATAAAAATTTGAAAGGTCACAGATTGATTATCATGAAGATAACTATTACATTTTTAGATATATCAAAAATTTCTTTTGCTTTCTTACATTTAAACGTTGAGTAGAATTCTGCATATTGGAGGCTCTTTGACTGTTGTTCATGGGCACAGCTCGTACAAGTGTGTTAGATGGCAATTTTAGTAAATCTGCTGTTATAGATGTTGGAAGATTTTGTAGTTTGGGTCCGATTTTATTTTGTTTATGGTTATTTACATTTTTAACACATCCTGTTGATACTAATGAATTACCAACTTTTCGATTCTTACGCTTTATAAACAAATAAAATGAATAAGAAATAATATAAATAAATTTATTTTATAAAAAATTACTAAGTTAATTAACATACATCGTTTATATTATTAACTGCTACTACATCAGTTTTTGGAGTGAGTCTATTATTATTATTGCTATTATTACTGTTGTTATTGTTATTATTTATATTCATATTTTTTTCGTTTGCCTTTTTAAGCTGTTCACAGTTAGGCGCATGTTCAGCCCAATGTATTTCTTGACATCTCTGTTCACAATAGGCTGTATTCCAACAACAATATAAATTAGCTTCACGTAAACAAATACTACACCATACTGTACGTTTCGTTGCGTCTACCTCTTGTTTTCTTTCCAATTCGCATTGTTTACGTACATCATTGACAGCTCTTGCAGTTTCATTTTCCATACTTTTACGCATTTCATGGAGCATCAAATCCGTCGTGGTTTTGATGTCAGTAAGTTGCTGTTGGTGAGCATACTTTAGCTGTTCTATTTCTAATCTAAGTCTGGTATTTTCGGCTTGCACGCAAGCTTCATCAACTGCTGTCATATCATTTATTGTGTCAGCCATAACCGTTATGAAGTAGTCAGTTAACTAGAAAATTAAGGATCAATTAATTTTTTTTAGAAAAAAAATAGAATTGTTTATCTATACCTTATGTGCATTTTGTACCATTTTGGCACTAACAGGACCTGCCTGTGATGGATACAGAGCATCGCCCGACGATCGCAATGGGCCATCAGGACGTTGCATTAATTTTGGTGGTCCTCTACATATAGTTTCCGTTATAGCCGCAGCCATACTGGGTGAAATGATATCGCCAAGTATATGGTTATCCCCATTAGATAATTGACTGCTGCCACTGCTGTTAGCTACTGAGGTTAATGATGTTGGTAAGGCGGTAGTAGTTATCGTTGTAAACGGCATGCTTGTTGTTGATAAAGAAGATGCAGGTATAGAAACTATTGGTAATAGCATAGATTGTGAAAGTCCTGCCAGAGGAGGAGGCTCAGACATAATGAGTGGTGTTATTATTGTTGATAATTGTGCTGGTGTATTGGAATTATGTGCTCCACTAGTTAACATAGAAGTTAGAGGTGGCACCTGTATCGTATTATTTGTAATACGATTACTCGTTGCAACATCAACTGGTATTGAGACCATGCTTGCAGAAACTTGTGTTAGAGCACTACATGAGGGCACATCATCGCTACTGCTTTGACTTAATGGTGATACATTTGTAAAGTTCTTTCTCGCGCGTTGTGATGGACGTGAATGTACTAGTGGCTGCTGAACTTGTGTAATTTGTTGTGTACTATGTTGGGGTTGTGATCTTTGAACCTGTTGCAATTGCTGTGAGTTATTATTAGTTATGCTCATTATAGGAGTGCCATTTGTATTTAGGTTATTGTTTATAATACCATTTTGTGCACTAGCCATTGCTGGCAATGGACCAAAAGGTACTCCGCGCGTTGTGACACGTTTGTTCATATTTGCTATATTTGCATTTGCAATATTTGTAATACTTGTGTTATTGCTACTGGTTGTATGTTGGGTTTTTGGACTATTTTGTACGATACTGTTGGAGTTTTTAGTTGATAATTTTTGTATCGTAGTATCACCAACCATTCGAACATTGCTTGATTCAGCTTGTGTAAGCGTAGGACTTTTACATGTTTGGTTGCCTGTTAAACCAATATTCGATATATTATGAACTACTTCAGTAGCGTTAACAATTTCATTTGAGTTTTCGTCATCTGACATAACTTCAGTTTTTACAGTTAAAAGATTTGTATCAGTCGATTCATCATTATTAGTTGATTGATTATTGACAGATAAACTGGGTATATGCTCTGCACGAGTATTTCTGCTTTCATTAATATTTTCTAAAGACTTGACCGTTATTGAACTTTTTTTTTTATTATTGTGATCTTTTTCATTCCCGTGTCCTTCTTCGTCAGAAAGAACTTCCTTTTTAATTTCTACAAAAGGTACTAAACCTCTAATTAGTTTATCTGCATTTTGTTCTTGTTTAGTTTTGTAATTGTCATCTGTTGCAGCCTTATTTGAGGTATTAGAACTAGTTAATGTTGTATCAGGACTCATTGTTACTGAGCTATTATCTTGAGTTTCAGCCAATTGTTCACTACTCTTTATAGTTTCTTCAGAATTGGGTATCGAAGAATTTGTGACTATTAAATTTGTATTCAAATTTATATCTTTAGGACTTTGATTATTATCAGCGGTAACATTATCGTTTATATCACTAACAGTATTAGCATGAAGAGAAAAACTAGTACTCACATCATTAATAGTAATTTTTTTTATGGTCACACCTTGTTTATTTTCAAGTTTCTCGATCACATTTTGTTGTTGTACCTTTTCAATATTGATATTTCTATCTTCTTTATTTTCTATTGTGATAGGACCAACTGTTTTAATGGTTATTGGTGGAATTTTAGGCTCATGTTTACTTTGTTTTGCTTTAGTTTTTTCACTTTCGTTATCGTTACTACTATCATCTATAGCAAATTTACGTTTTCCAGTCCCAACACTTGATGAAGCCTCAACTACCTTCAATAATTTTGGAGAAGATTGTGCACTTTCATCATTTTTTTTATTATCATCATAAGCTGATTTCCTTTTCAAAATAACTGTATTCAGTTTCGATGAATTTAAATCTTCTTGCGTATACTTCGACACTACCTCATAATTTGGTGCCAACATTTTTGCCTTATTTGATGAATTGGAATGATCAGATTCAATAGCAGATTCGTTTGCAATATTTTTTTTAATAATTGACAAATGATTATCAGCGGTTTTCACAATTTTATATTGCAACGATGGTTTGGCATTACAATTCTTTTGTTTTTTTATGAATTCTGACACACCAGGCATCATTGTTTCTAATTGTTCTAATTCAATTGATGGGTCATAAGGAGTTTTAAATGGGGCATAATTAAAGCCACCAATTTTTTGTTTAATATTTTGTATATATAATTCCACCTCTTTAATGCAATCAGCAAGTTCGCGAGCGGTTCGTTTACCTGTTTGCATTTTTGGATCTAATTCCGAATACAAATAACACTCCTTCAGTGGCACAAAAGCACGATCATGTTTTCCAAAAAATCGTACATTAACAAGTGTATTTTGTCCCAATCCCATAGCTTTCGCTGGCCAGTAAGGGAATCCTTTTAACTTTGCCCATAGGAGAATGTGTGGCTGACTGCATACATCTTCAAACCAATCAGAACGTGTATGGGCATTTAAATAACATTCGGAACATGATTCAATTTCGTTTGATTCTTGTTTACAACTTTTTAAAATTTGTTTCACAATAAGTGTGTCTTTCGTATTTACTGTAAGTACATGAAAAAAATTTAATATAATTTTAGGATATAGTTAATAAATGTACATACCACCATTTGTTAATATATTTATATTGTGCAACATCCATTTAGCGTCTGCGACAAACTCATCAGAACAACGATACGCTTTCTTTTCTATTTTATCCTCCAGGAATTTAAATGTAACTGGGTTAACAATGAATTTCGGATAAGCGGTGACATCGAAAGATAACTGATGCGTCTAAAATAAGAATAAAAATAAATATGGAAAATTTCTTTCTCAACTCAAATGAAACACATTAATTACGCAATAAAAAATAAAATATTAAAACAAGAACATAAAATAAATAAATATTTATATACGCAACTTTAAAATCATTACTAAACTAATAACGGTATCAAAATCAATAAACAAGATTTCCGACATCATATTCATCGTGAATAGAGGTACTTTACTGGTAAAATTAATTAAAGAACATCTCTTAAAGAAATTTAGTCATATGTTTAAGGAATCATTTAAATATAAATTAACTACATATCACATACTATCAGACAATGAGCATACATAAAGGGTTTAAATGGGCTGCATAAAATTGGCCACATCTTGCATCTACCACGTACCATTTACCCCCCAATAGTTTTCGAAAAGCAAAAATGAACTGCCTTCTTTCTTGCTTGATGAAACGTGAGCTAATGTCTAAAAACACCTTTACTTAATAGTATCTGTGACCACTTGGGTGATTCACTATAACAAAAGCTCCGTTAGATTCTGATAATAAGATATTCGAGTAAATTTACAGAAATATATTATATAAGTATGATCCACTCTCAAGTCTTTGCGTATATCTTTAGTTCTGATATACCATATAGCTTTTAGAGAGAGAGAGAGAGAGAGAGAGACTTTGATAAGTTTGAAGTGCAAAACTAAGCTTTGAGCACAATAAAATTTACACTTAATTTGGCATTTAAATATAATATAAATGTTACTATTCTTCCATATGATACAATAAATGTACTGTAACGAAAAATAAATTAGCTAAAAAGTTTTTAATGATTTCAAGTCTTTTGTGTTACCAATTATAATTTATTTTGCCAATATTAAGAAAATGAAATATAAATAATGAAAAAACAATAAATTATTCTAAGATAGAAAGAAATTGTATTTTAAGTATAAAATGTTGAGATAAGATATATTGAAATCAGACACGTGTCTGACAAAAAAAACATTAAGTAATAATACTTAATAATAGCAATAGAATTTTTTACAATTGTACAATAGTTTTTCTCAACTGTTGAAGGCTTTTCACAATTATAAATAAGTTTGCCACATTATAAATAAAATAAAAATATAAAATTTTTATGTCAAAATCAAAAATGCGATTAATAATAAATATAAGCAAAAAGAACTAATTCCAACTGCCATAAGTTCTATTACAATAATGCTGAAATAAATTTTTGTGTTATTTAAAAAATAAATTTTAGACTAGGACTAATTAATATTATTTTAATGCCAAAGCGTTGAGCGGTAAGTACTTTATTACATATTAAGATTTTTTAAAATATTTCAGAATTTTAATTAGGCTTAATTTAAAAACCTTGTAAGCCGTCACTAATAAAGAATACGTGCTTTTCAGACCTCTACAATGACTTATCCGTTTCTATTGGATAATGTTTTCGTTATATACAGTACACAAAAGGGTCTAGTCTTTTCTATAGAAATACAAATTTCTTATTATTACCAACAAAAAAAAAAGTATTAGATTTGGTTCTAAAGATTCTTGTGTTGTCAGTTGCCCACAACTGACTAAAAACTAATTGTCTACATTCAGAAATAAAGTATTTAACTATATGATATTATAATTATAGGTATGCAATATTAAATTCTACTTCTAATAATAGTTCTCATCTTTTTTAAAAACAAGGAACCAAGTATAAGTTCCGCAAGCCAGTTACCCATTTTTTTTTTTGAACAGAGATTGAAAATGAAATTAACTTTTAACAACAAAATGTTATAATTAATAATAATAATACTAATCAAACTTGATGTTAATAGAAAACTATTCTCAATATTTATCCTACATTGGTATTAATTCGCAATCGAAAACAATTAGGGTCCATTTCATAAGGAAAGGCCACTGAACAACAAATTTCAATTTTACTAAGGGTTAAATATTACAACATAACCATTACAGTTAATATATGTAGAAATTATTATGATCTCCAAAAAGTTTAATTTAATAATATATTATATTATATACTTTATCACTATTTTTATCCTGTTATTGGTACGATTTTAATCAACAAAAAATTTTTTTAGATAAAATACTTAATTTGCAATTAAATTTATTTTATTTCATTATATTATGTTATATTTAATTCCTTACAATTAAAAACCAAAAATGGTACCAAATTAGACTGAATAAAATTATTGGCAAATCTAATGCAAAAATTAAAAATAAATATTTACGGTGACAATTAATATTTAGTGGCCAAGCTCTTCTGTTTAATAACAGTTAGTACTATTTGCTTTGGCATCAGAAAACAATTTTTATGTGTTTTTCGACCCAATATATTGCCACTCTTCAGCAGTGCCACCGTCTTTGAACGTCTACCCAATTCTTCGCATAAATGTTTAATGGTGTTGAGATATGGAGAGGATGCGGCAACGTGCGTTTTGCATGATGCTCGAGTCGCATGCGCAGATCATAAGCTATATGTTTCAGATCATTGTCATATTGGAAGCTAGACGGGGCTGGCACTCTCTCAAGATTGCGGTTCTTTCTTTGACATTTCTCTTGAGGATAGTAATATAATATTTTTTGTCTATCAATGAATTTCAATTCGCCGACACCTGCAGTGGTCATGGATATCTCCATATAAGCATCATGTATCAAAGACATAGTAGGATTATTTTTTTACAGTTTGGTGTTTGCTTTTCTTCAAGCTATTTGGCGGCCATAAGATCATATGATCTAAAATTTTCTTTCATCCAAGAAGAGAACTTTGTTCCAAAAGTCGATTAATTTACTTAAGTATTTCTTTGCTACGCTAAATACTTCTGGTGGTAAATCTGCAAAATAAACAGTTTTTGTCTAGTTTTTGTGTTGGGTTTCATGCAGTATACTGCTGACCGTTGTGCGATGTATATCTTTGCCAAAGTCTCACTTAACTTCAGCTGCGTTGTGGGGTAAAGATTTTTTTAGATTGACCTTTACTTTTCTTATTATGTTGCTGGATTTACGGTCGCTCAAAGCTTTAGGTCCGTCTGTGTGCTTTGCATTTTGGAATGATGTCGTTTTTTTTTGGAACGCTGCACAGTGCTCCGATAGATATAGCGGTTTCTATCTATCATATCCTTAATATCGGCAAAAGATTTGCTTTTATTGTGCAAATATATATTTATTTTCCGCTGAAATTCGACAGTATCCTTATGTTAACTGCTCCTTTTGTTCAAAATGAATTAACTTTGTTAATATTATTGGCATTATGACGTTTTTAGGTAGAAACTAAACCACTGCGACATTTATGTTGAAATGTTGAAATAACAGATCTTTTCCAGAAAAACGTTGTCAGATGAAAGAAATTTTGTCAAAATAATTTATTAGAACCTAAGTATGGCAATAATTTTGTTCAGCCTAATTTAGTACATTTTTTGGTTTTTTAATTATAAGAAAGTAGTTATGAGACATAATATAAGGATATAAAATGAATTTAAAAGTAAATTAAGCATTTTATCTAAAAAAATTTTTGTTAATTAAAATTCACATCGTTAAGAGGATAAAAACATTTCCAAAGTTCAATATGCTTGCTGTGCCAATAATTATGTTCGGCACTACATGTATGTATGTATGTAATCCTATGTCAGTTTTAATATGGTTAATATAAATAATTTAGAAATTAAAATATATATACCGATTATTACATATGTGTATATTTATACAAATAAAATTACAAATATCATTTTTTAAATATTTTAAATAATTATTAAATTATCTACTTGTACACACATAATATACATATATGTATTTGTATGTATATTACATGTACATATATCATAAATATTCTTGCAAGGCTATTTTGCTTTTCTATCACATGTTTTTCTACAAAATCAATTGCTGCAACGAAACCAAAATTTCAGTGTATAATTTTTTTTTAAACGCCAACATGTTTTTTATATGTAACTAATAAACACTCATCTGCCTCTTATCTCTGAGAGCGAAAGAGATATTCACAAAAGTAAAGACAAACGTAATACCTGATAATTAAATTCGCCGCAATATTTTTATGCCTCAGCTGAAACAGGTTTGCATGTGAAAGGCACACAAAGAAGAATTTAAATAAAATTTATGTGTAAAAGAATATATGAAAAATGCATAGCAAAAAGACATGAAATAATGGTTTTTTTTACTGCTTTTTACGTATTTAATTTCTGTTATATGAAGAATATAGTTTTGATAGTTTAATTAAATACAATATTAACAATTTTTTTATATTAAATTGACATTGGATTTTACGGAAAAATGAATTATCCTTAAATTACGTTGTAAGTTATTTTAATTAAGTTAATTTAATTAAGGACTAAGTATATATATTGATTTTGAAATTTATTTCCAGTACAGTAAGAACTCAATAACATGAATTTCAAAATAGTTGTAGGTTTACATTTTTTCTTTAATAGATTATTTTTATCACTTTTTATTTATTATAAATTATAGTATTGCTTCTTAGCAATATTTTTTATTTAGAAATTTCAATATAAACTCTCTAACATACCTTCGTATTTATAAGCAACCAATCCTTTTTCTCTTTCTGAAGTACTAACTAAATTACTTTGGTTCGATTTTGAGTTCAACGAATGGTCCGTTTCTTTCTAAAGGCTTATATGGTTATTATATACGGTAAATGCATCTAATCATATACTTTACAATGACTTTAAGATGATAACAATGTTTCTTGTAATAATAAGATAAGATTAGATAATATTTTAAGGAAATAAAAAATAAAGTAATGTATTCTTTCAAATATGTCTTAAATATTTCATAAAATAAATGTCAAAAAAGAGAAATCAAAAGTATATAACGAATATCTTATGACTAAAATTTCCAATATCCGTAGTTATAGTAAAACAATACCATAACTATTTCTATTTTAAAAAACAACAAAAACAATAACTCTCAATATAAAATTTTATAATTTTTCAAAAAAAAACATAAATTAAAATGTAAGCAAAATTAAATTTTTTTTTAGTTATTCAGACTTAAAAGTATCTCTACCCCTTAAGACGGTTGCCTTATTGTTTTACCGTATAAAACTCAAGACGTTTTAAGTCAATAGTCAAGACTTTCCTTAAAGGGAGGTAAGAACTAAAGTCAATCTATATCTTAGTCTGCTTTTAGTGACTTCAATCTTCGTAGCAAACAATAATATAATTACAAATTCTTAAATGTAAGTAGTTTTAGATAAAACTTATTGGTTAACACAAAAGCTAGAAAGTTAAAAATTTTTAACCTCATATTTGACACCTCGTTTATATCAACTTCAGATATACTTAATATTCAGTTTTAGCATAGCTATCAGTTCTGACTATTTAATTTAAACATATATTAACTATTATTTGTTTCAAAAAATTTCTAAGATCGTATATAAGTAATTGTTCAAAATTTATCTTTTCTCAAAAGTTAAAAGCTTGACTTGAGTTAAAACAGACAACCGAAAATTTTTAAAATATTTCGTTATTGTTTCGTCGGCCTGATCAAACACATGTGTAATATAATAGTGTCTTCAAATGTCTTCACTGCATCCAAGCATTTTGATAAACCTAATATACGCTTATTCACAATAGTAAAATAAATATAATTTATAACATTTATAAAATCTGCATTACATTTAATATATACATTAAATGACAAATATTTGTCGAAAAATAAGTTCAAGATAAGCTTTTTATATTCAGTCCAACAGTACTATACAAATTCAAAGTTCAAAAATTTAAAATACACGTACACATTTGATTGTACGAGTTTAACACTATAAGTTTAATGAAATAAAACTTTTTTCTAAAACTCTAAAATTTAAGAAAAGTTAGCACCCTATAGACATTTTAGCTGTAATAAGCGAGAATCAGCAAGTCGAGAAATTTTAAAATAACTGCTTTAATACGAAGATATAGAAAGAGGAAAAATAGAAAATCGATTTCTAAAACCTACATTAGTTAAATCGATTTAAAAAACATTTAGATTAACTAATGCCGTGTGAATAGCATATAAAAATCTTAAAAATTTAAATGTACCTCTAAAGAGAAAAATAGCTCAAAGTTGGAAAATTTCAATAATTTCGTATTTTTACTATTTAAACTATATATTTAAAGAATATTTAAAATATTTATAAAAAATAAATCAAAAATATCAAGCGTTTACTGTACAAAAGCAAATGATAATTGCAAATTAGCTTTGTTTTAATTAGGGATTTTTAATAACAAAAGATGGAAAACAGCAATGTAGTATGTACATAAAAACAAATTCGAATGATTTATCAGTATTTGACATTTTTAAGCTTTCATTTTGTTTATAACAAATGACGTCGCAAAAAGCAAAAGAAATTAAAGAAAAACTGCTTGTGTATAAAATTAATTTCAAACAATACATACACACTTTTTTTATTGATTTTGAGTGTGTGTGCAAGTGAAATATTATTGCCTAAATTAGTATGGGAAATTTAATCATCTTAAACTGTGAAACCATAAATAACTAAATATAATAATATATAACCACATATTTTAAAAATATATAGAAGTATATATAACTTACAACAGGAGCACTTTGCATTGTTTTTAGTGCAAAAGAGAGTAGTTGACTCAATAAATCCAAAGACAAATCATTTCTGCGTGATCTGTAAATTATATTAGTAAACATTGTTATATATAAGTTCATTGTTATTAGTTAAATTGCTTACTTTTTCGGTCCAGTTAACACATTTTCTATTTGTGTGCATTCTGGACACACCCATGTGTTATCTACTTTAGTTGCAGACGTTAACTTTACACAAGTTGTATGAAACGAACGTATACACTTGAAACATGGTTTAAGATTCTCACACTTACGGCATTTCCAACAGAAACTATCCCAACCAACCTATTCAAAAAAAAAAAAAAAGAACAATAATATTACTAAAAATTTTAATTATGAATATATTAAATTGTTATAATTTGCAATATATATGTATCTATAAAACAAAATTTTATTGTTTTTTAGATCATTTAAATAATCAGTATCAAATTTTAAATAGTTTCAAAATAATATTTAATCATTTTTAGTTCAAAAATATAATATATCAACTGTACAAGCACTTATATACTGTAATTTATTAGTAATATTTTCGTTTACCTTTGGCGGTGGACTCCACATGGCATTAAGACGTGCTCGTATATCGCCATCTCTTATTGCTACTGCATCTAAATCAGTTAATTCTTTCGATTGTATTGGAAAACTATCATTATTACTTATATTAATAGTACTTTCTAAAATGGATGATGCATTGTCATCACCACTTTCTCCATCATCTGTGACATATTGTTCGTCATTATGTGTACCTTTAACTCGGTTTAGAAATTCTCGCTGCTTTTGTTGAAAATCCGAGTTTTTCGATCTCATATTTCCACGTTTGGCTATTTTGTCATCAGATGGCCATTTACTGATTTTTGTGTTAACTAATTCATCAGCACGGCTCATACTTTTACTACGAGAACGTCCACGATGTTTAAAACTATGATCCGAACAACTAGTCTCATCTTTCTGTGGGTCAAATTTATCAGCCTCTATATCGACATCTGTGGCATATTGTTCGTCATTATGTAAACCTCTAACTCGACTTAGAAATTCTCTTTGCTTCTGTTGAAATTCTAAATTTTGGGATCTCATATTCATACGTTTACCTATTTTATCATCAGAGGTCCACTTACTTATTTTTATGTTTAACGAATCATCAGAGTTACGATTCATACTCTTACTACGGGAACGCCCACGCTGTTTATATTTTTTATCCGAAGAACTAGTCTCATCTTTAAGCGGCGCAAACTTACTGCTTTTCTTTACTTTAGAACTGTTCAATTCAGTATTGCGAAAACCCATGTCTTTATCAACAGATTCTTTAGAACTAAGTCCAGCTTTTCGTAAAATGCGCATTTTCGATTCTATTTGATCTGTTTCTATACCATATTCAGTAAGAATTTTGGACTCATTAACAGATTTCTTTAAAGCCGAAGCTTCTCGCGAAAGAGGAGTACAACAACGACGTGAAGAAGTTGAAGTTTTTCCCTCACTGGCAGACTGCATTTTATCATTTAAAGAATTTTTTTCACTTGTAGTGCTCATACCATTAGCATTCGTTTCTGTTGAATTGTCATCAAGAACTATAACATTAAAATGCAATACCATCAATAAAACAATAATAAATATAAATAATAATCGCACATTTCAAACTTACCATTCATGCTGTCATTTTCCAATATATTCTGTAGCATAATAATATCAAAAAAAATATATATTAATAATTTTATTTATCTATTTAACTCATATAGTAAGTGTAATAACTACATAGAGTTAATAGCCAACTTCAAATGGTTTCGCTTTACAGACAATATAAACAATTTTTTATATGTTGCTAAATACATATTATATAAATATGGAATCCCACATATGTGCAACATATTAATCACAAAATACACACCAAACTTAGTAATCTGAATTCAATCAGAGAAGTTACCTGCATGGTCAAGAGCGTCTCATTATTTCCATTCATCATACAGATTACAACAATAATATGCATTACACAGATTACAACCGACTGATGTCTAACAGTTTCGCCTGAGCAAGCCTTAAAAAAGCTTAACGTATTTTGGAGATATTCGGACACATACCAGACCTCGCGAAAACTAAGATTAAAGTTCCTGTTCTAAATAGTAGTGAGAACTAACTTGAAACTGTTAGCAATATTTGACGTCAACAACAGTCTTCCTTGTCTCTTACGAATATTCTGGTCAAACAAAACATCGAACACCTAGTTAAAGACTAAAATATAAATGATCCAAGCATATATGAGTTGATTACATTTTATGCTGGCCTACAGTAGATATCACTATAATTTTATATTATAGTCGCAAAGGCACGTACGTTCAAGCAACAATGGAATAGATTTATTGAAACAGAAATCCGACTTAATGGAAAACATGAAATTAAATCTATACGATTCCCGTTTAATCAATGCTTCATTTAGAAAATACCTGTCAGCTTCTTCTGCAGAATAACCAGAGCTAAAACTTAAATATGAAATATTACTTACAGCCCTATTTTCTTTATTGGAATTCACCAGATCCGTGTTATTTTCCACAATATTGCATAATAATTTTATTTCTGTTTTAGTATCCTCATTTTCGTCACGCTCCTCGTTTTCTGCTTTAGGGACTTTTAACAGAGATACCGGGGTTGAAGACTCTACAGTTGGTGTTGAAGACGAACTACCACCCATAATTGCTTCATATGCCGGAGGTGGTATTGAGTCTAAGCTCTCATCTGGTGTTTCTGTTTCCATTTTCTGAAATAAAAATTAATAAAACATTAAGTATTTTTTTTAACTGAAAATTACAATAAACGTAATTTTATGTTAATAACAATTAGTGAGTTATTGCTATTTTATTTTAAAATAAATTATATTAAATTTATTTATACCAACAGAGTAAGTGCTTTAGGTTTCAAACGTATCTAATTTGTCAGTGTTTTATTTCTAATTTTTCTTGTGCTCTCTAAAAAAAACATTCGCTTTTAGCTTTTGTTCTAGAACGATGCCTTATTTAAGTATGTATGTATGCGTATATGTATGTCTGTATGTGTGTATGTGAAACATATATCACATATATACTCGTACTTTGAAAATAATTTTATTTTTTACCGCATGTCACGTTTTCAGAAAGCACTGTACTAAACAATGCTAACATTAGGTAATTTTATATATGAATAAAAAAGTTTTTAAATAAAACGAATAACAGTTAAATTATTGTTGAAACATGTTAATATGCTATCTTTTTCTAAAAATAAAGCCTACCACAATTAGGTCAAAAGAGACCAATAATAGACTATTGGTCCAATATAGCCTAACTAACACTTTCTTCAAAAAACGAAAGTAAGTGCATTCCTTGATATTTATATTTTTCATTTTTAACAAATATTTTTAAATATATTTATACTACGCAAATAAATGGTTAATTAATATGTATCATAGTATCAAGAGATAAGGTCACATGATTTACGTAATAATGGAAAAATAGTTTATAAACGTTCGTTTTGCTAAAATAAAAAGTAGTATTTGATAGATATGTATATACCTTCATTAAAATTACATATAACATAGGTACGGTTCACTTGAAGAATACCCAACAAAATATCGCGGTCTGTGTAATTCCATAAATAATACTCATACTATTCACACTATTTGAAGCAATAGAACAACCATATAAATATGCGAGTAAAAGCACTGAAAAACAAATCGGAATAAAATGGAAGTTTATCCATGCATATTTCCTTAATTTTCACCTGAATTTTTGAAAACAATTTCATAAGATTTTGAGTTGAATTTTTTTAGCTTTTTAATGAATGCTGTTTCTCTATGTCCACTCTTTTAAAAGGCTTCCAATGAAGCTGTAACTTTAGTTTCGAGAATAAAAAACATTCCAAAATTTCACAAGAACTCTCCAACGAATAGAGAAATTTAGCAAAAAAAAGATTGAGAAAAATAGATTTTGTATAACAGATATTGTGCACATGATATATTCAACATTGTTGTTGTCACAATGGAAATCACAGTGACGGCCCCAGTGACTTTTGCCTGGTAAACCAAAGGCCGCATGAGCTCAAATAATGATCCGCTGTGTTACCATGGATCATCAGGGAACATTTAAAGATATTATGCTATATAATCTTCATTCCCACAGCGTCTGAATTTACATTCCGGTATTACTCGCCAACACTAAGCAATTTAGTGTTGCTTAGTCATCAAAGGCAAACAGGTTTATCTAGACACACTCGTCTAAAGATTAATAATAAAAAAAACGACATCTAGATCTACATTTTAGAGCTACTCGTCCGTACTTACAACTAACAATCCCATCAAAAATTCATTATTCGACGGGGACTAAGAGTAGTTGTCAATTTCATAATTTTGAGGTATCACAAATCATCATTTACATTAATATATTGAAAGTATACCTGTAAATATAAATAAGAATAACATAGTGTGATATTTCTATTAAAATGATATTATACACTATCAAGAATTTTTTCACTCATTGCAAATATATTTCGAGTTTGCTTATAAAGCAAAATTTCGGCGGTTTAAAGACATACTTTAAAATGGCAACTTAATTTTATATAAAATTTAATATTTAGTTTCACACTTCTCGGTTTCGTATCTTACCAGTAATTCCAGTAATTGGGTATACACAAAAAAAATTCGCTTCAACGTGATATTACCGAGTGTTTTCACATTTTTGACATAGAATTTCGCTTGAAATATATTTCAAAAAGGAACCTAAATGTAATATATTGTACTTTAAATTAACTGGAAGATTTTTTAGTTTGACTAAATTTCCAAGAAAATATGTGGAGGCAGTTATCCTAAATATCTTTAATTGTTAACTATAAGTACTTGGACTTTCGTTGCAAGCAATTCAATGTTTTGTCAAATTTTTTGTCTTAATATTTTTTGCAATATTGCTCTTGATATATTATTAAATGCCTACTGCATTTATAAAAATATTAATTTTAAATTTTTTTAATTAAAATTATTTTTTTGATATATGATGAACCTCGTGTTAAACACATAATTAATAATAAATTGTGTCACATACAAGCCACAGACATCAGACATCTATGGGTTCGACTACTACTACGTACAGAGGCGACGTTTAAGTTTTGTGCAACGTTTGCATTTTGCTTTAATGTGTTGCAATTAACTGATGCTCTTCTCAAGATAAAACATCAATAAAGGCAACATAAAGGAGTCTGCAATAATGAAGGCAGGAAGACTGTGAGTACAAGTTGGCAACCAAAAACGAAGCTAGCCTATGCGTTCGGTTTATGGACAAGCACCTAAAATTCAAAGCCACTTATTTTTCATTTTTATGAAGAGTAAAAAAATACAAACATTAATCAATAGCTGACAAACATATATTGTATAAATATACTTACGGTGTGTAAATAATTCAGCTCTGCTAATAAATTGTGTATTTTAAATGGCGTACATGAGCGCAGTAGTTGCCGCCGCTACTATTAGCGATTTTGTTGTAATGAAAAAAGCAAAGCAACTTGTTCCTTGACTTTACTTCAGCACTTTTCGATAATGAAATTTAATTATGAAACAACTGTAGCACATTTAAGTCATATACTTATAAATCAAATAAATACTTATTCATTACATATTTAATAAATTATATATTTTGTTCATATATTTTCCTTTGGAATTCATTAAAACTGCAGTTTTCTACGTCACAAAAATAATTCGCTTCTGCTTCCGTGCGGTTAGTATACGTCGAACAGTTCCGAAACAAACATATCAAATGATGGCGAATTCAGTATGACAGCAGCAATAAGAAGTAGTCTCTCCATGTTTTTGTTTCTTTCGCTCTTACGCTCTTATTTTGAACATAACATAAAAAACAATAAGATGCAAATACAACAAGGAATTGATGAAGTTCGCCTTTTTTCATCATATAATTTTATATATGTATGTATATATATATTAAATATGGCTTAATTTTTTATTTGAGAAAAATTTGTAGCAGCTTTATTGCTTCCAAAATGTTCGTATGAAGTTGCAGGGTGGGCAAAGACGGCACATTACGAATTAAATTTCGTTTATTTTTTATTATATTATTTAACTTGTAATCAACTAATGCTTATGATATAAATACAATATAAGTACTAAGTTTGCACAAGTTTAATTATACATATATTGTGCATACATTAATAAATAGATATGAAAAAAATATTCTGTGTATTCAGAATATATGAAAAAATTTATTGTGCTTTTTCAAGTAATTTTCGTATGAAAAATATTGATTGCACAAGGCCAAGAATTAAAGCTTAATGTTTTGGATTTTATATATTTAATGTATATATTTATATATTAGCACTTACGACTCTGTAAACCTATTAGATTTCCTTTGAACTTAAACCACTACTCCTTTGTCTCCTTGTAACATTGCTTACAACTCAGGAATGCATTAACATTACCAAACCATATATATTATATATCTAATATCTTCATTTGTCCAATATTACATATTTAATATCTACATTGGTCCAATATTATACAAATAAAAGCTTCAATCGTCCAATATTATATATATAATATCTCCATTTGTACAATAGTACATATGTATATAAAATATATCCTTACCGTCTTTTATAACCATTAATGTATGTTTTTTAGATCCACCAAGCAGAAATTTATTTGCTTGCTAATAATATTATATCATAGATCTCATTTTTTTACACACATATATATGTATATAATCTTTAAAAATTACATACATACATACATATGTATTTTGTATATCATTGAATGAGTAACTTAAAAATCATCTATTGCATAAATTGAATTAATTTGTTGAATTCCCATTATGATTTTCTATAACGTTGTGTTAAGATGGAGAAAGCCATTGTGTAATTTTGCTTGAAGCACAAATATTTATTTGATTAGGTATGTTTACTTTCTGAAATATATAATTTTTATTTAAAAACTCCAAATATCGAAATTTTTGGCATAAACCTTCCAATTTACGAGGTGTGCATTTGAGATTTAATAGATTCATAAAAGATTTTTAATATTTGACAAAGACAAAGCTTGTTAACTTCTCTATATTAGGTTCCAGAAAACATTATAGGGGTTTATATCGTATTTGCATTCATTTTTTATTATAGATGATTACCATAGTCTTACAAATAATAAATCAACATATGTGTGTACATGTCTATATGTCTATAATAAAGTTTTAATTTATCAACTATAGGACAGAAACCAAATGAAACACTATCAATTCAAAGGTATTTATATTTAAGAATGATGTTATAATTTATTAATATTGTTTATTAAGTACGTCGCTAAAGAATATATCATACGAATATCGTTATATTAGCGAACATTCAAAATAATAGTGTTTCATTTGGTTTCACTCCTATAGATAATAAATTAAGTCTTTACTATATAATTATCAAGAGGACAATAATATTAATAAATATATGTATGTATATAGTCGTAGCATTTTAATTTTTTTTTTATTATTATTTACATATAATAATTCTTCTATACTAATAGTTTTTAATATTGTTTTAACATGTTGTTTTGAATATTAAGTATTATAAAATATTTATTTATTAAAAACAACAAAAAAATTTGAAATGCATTTCTAAATAATAATACAAAAATTAAAAATAAAAATAATTTCACAATTCTAATTTGTTAACAACTACTAGGAAATTTGTTTAAAAGCTGTACATTTTTTAAAAGATTACTAAAGCCTTTAATTATTATATTAAATTCAACTATAGATAATGTTATCATTATATTCATTTCACAATATAAAAAATGTAATATTTCTTAATGCAAGAGTATTTCATATTAACGTCATGCAATCATATTTTGTATTACTGACTTAAATGTTTAAAGTAATAACTCCGAACACAAAATTTACTTTACAGGCTTCATATATTTTTAATATATTGTACCTACATTAAATAAATTTTTTTTCTTTACGTATTTTAATATATAAATAAATATTACTGATATAGAATATCATATAACTATTTATAATTTCAAAGCAAAGTTTATGTAGTTACAAATATGTATAAATATATATGTCTTCCTACAGACAGATAACGATTTAGATATATTTGTAGTTTATATTAATATATTTATTTATTAATATATTTGTTGAAAAAGCTTATGTTAACTTAAAATAAATTTTTTTTACATATATATTGAAATTTTTTGAATTTTTCTTATGGCCAGCTACTCTCATTGTTATAATATCGCGTCTTCAGAAAGAAATCAAATTAATTCCAAAGCGACACATTATTATATATAACATAAGACAATAATATAAAAGAACCCAAATAAAAATAATAGCCTTGTCAAAAAATATGATTTAGATATACAGTCAAACTTCCATAACTCGAACCAAAAACAGTGCACCAAGGTTTTAGAGATAACATACAATTTACATACAATTCTGTTTCCATAACTCGAACTTCTATAACTCGAATTTCTCTATAACTCAAACTAAAATTTTGTTCCGTGCTAATAGGAATTTGGGAAAGTGTATTCAATAAGTGGAATTTTTGTTTTAAGTATAAATGCATTTTGCTGTTAGGGGAAGTCACTTTTCCAAACCAAATATTTAATTTTTTCTTTCTTATGCAACTTCTTTGTGCAAATGCCAGTCGCTGGCAGCGTGGTTTAAAGTAAATAAAATAATTTCATGCTACTCTTAACGATTATATTGAACTTGACAATGAAATTTGCACATCAAGTTTTCCTACAGATCACAATATTATTGAGCACTATAGCTCTAAATTACTGGATCCAATTCTAAACGCAACGGAAAGTGATGATGAGGGTTCAGTGGATTGTTCATCAGCCTTCCAAGAATGAAAAATTCTGAATTTATATTTACAAACGAATGCTATTCCAAATGATGATCACTATAAGACTATGAATAAAATCTCAAACCCTAATTTCTGAATATTTTACTTCATTATAAATTCTGTAAAATGTAATTCTAGTTTCTTTCAAAAATAAAAAATAAATAAAAAAATTCTCTAATTCGAAGTCCCCATAAGTCGAACCTTTTCTTTGCAAAATTGGACTTCGAGCGATGGAAGTTTGACTGTATTGTTAAAAAAATTTTTAATAATTGTTTTAATGACCAAATATTTACAATAATAATTTTGTTTTTTAACGGGTTAATTGATCAGTAGTTAAATAATACACTTTTAAAAAAAATTATTTTTGGTTTCTAAAAAATTTTGTTTAAACCGATATTTCGACTACAATCTATAGTCATTATGATAACCAATTAGTCCGTTAAAAAACAAAATTATTATTAAACAATTTAAATGTTGAAACACATAACTTGTAATACATAATTTTTAAGTGTTAATAAAATTTGTGTAATCACAATTTGTAATTTTCATTAAATCCTAAATGCATATTTAAATTTTTTGTCATTACAACATATGTTATGTATACATATACGAATTTAATATAAATTTAGCTGCTATAGGGTTATTCGCAATAATGAACAATCAATGTTCAAAAAATTATTTTACAGATATGTAGCAATTCACTTAAAACTGTGTTTTTTTTTACTTTTAAATAGTTATACACTATTTATATATACTAATGATCATGCCAGCAAAGAAATCAAATGTACTCTTCTACGTATATTGTAATGTTATAGAAGTATAATGCAACGCTCTCAACTCAAATTATTAGCATATATAATATATACACACAACTGTTTATTCTATGTGCAAATAATTTGAGTGTCATCCAAATATGAAAAGGAACTTGTCACAAAACATTTAATAATATAACTTAAGAAGCAAATATTCTATTTTGTCATACATGCTAAGATAAATCAAAATCAAAATGTAACTAAAATTTTTAAATTGCAAGCAATATATCTTGTTCAATATGTCGAGTCTTTTTTGTATATTGGTTGCACTGTAACGTATGTGTTAACTGACAGTAAGATCTACGTTTGTTTTGTGTTTACCGAGTAGACGAGCTAAACGTATATCAGTGATGATTTTTTAGTTAAATGACGGTCCAGGGGAATTAAAAGAGAATTAAAAAAAATGATGTATACAAAATTTTAAAGGACATTGACGTCGATAATATGCCACGGAGCCCTAACATGTTTATCAAAGATGAAAAATTGAAAAAAATTGTACATGCTAACAGAAGAATTGTCACCAAAAAAATTTTTACAAGAGTTTTCAATATAAAAATGGTAGGAGCAATATTTGTTTACTTTGTTAATCTAACAATTTGTGACAAAACGTAAAATCACTGTAACTTTTTATTTCAAAACTAAGGAGAGTCATTCAAAGGATAAAAGTTTTCAAAAATAGATGAGATAACCATGCCTAGAAAGAAAGTTAAGCATTGTTTTTAAACTGCAATCTTTAGAGAGAAAAAAATTGCAATATCAACGAGGAACTATTTTAAATCAGATGAAGTTAATGTTAAAATAACTTTAAAAAAAAAAAACTATAATTCTCATTACTTTTAGATTACATTTCGTATATGGTTAATTTGTTTAAAGGCTTCTATAAATAATAACAGTAGTGTAAATTGTTTAGGTATGCAGAATTGCATAGCAAATGCATGCAGTATTTTTAAATACATAATTATGTTTTCTTTATATTACAACGACATTAAGAGTTACTAACAATTATTAATTTATTTGAAAATCATTAAAATTTATCTCTATATACCAGTTTAGAGTTTCCTTATTGAGGTCCTATGACA